GCGGACCAATCGGAGCCCGCTGCGGTTCCTCCAGGATCGCTGGTTGGATGCTGTCTCAGTCCGTCAGTCGCAGTCGGGGGCGGGGCGGGATCTGGCCAATGGCGCTCGCTATGGCTTCCTATGGTTGGCTCCCGTCTCCGTCCATTAGCGGAGCGGCGGCGTCGGGGGCGGAGGCGGGGCGGGCCTTCGGTTCCGGGCGCGCGGCGACCGTTGGGTGAGGCGAGCGCGGGGTCGGGTGCGGGCGCGGGCGCGGGCGCGGGCGCGGGGTCGGGCGCGGGGTCGGGCGCGGGCGCGGCCGCCTCTCGGGAAGACCCCGGGCCGGAGCGGGAGCGGGGGCGGAGGCGGGAGAGGCGGCGGGACGGGGGCGGGGCCGGCCCGGGGGGATTTCTCTGAGCGGCTGGGCCGGAAACCAAGTCGGAGCGGGGCCGGCGCGGGAAAGTTCGCGAACGCGCGCGGCCGTCCTCGGAGCAGCGCGGGGCGCGGCCGGGGGTCTCGCGCGGGGTCGCGGGTCCCAGCCTCGCCTGCGGCCCGTGGGCGGCCCACCCGGCCCGGCCCCGCCCCTCCCCCGCCCCTCCCCCGCCCCTCCCCCGCCCCTCCCCCGCCCCTCCCCCGCGCCCCGTCCCCCCCGTCCCCGCTCAGGTGTCAGTCCCCGAAGCCCCGCGCCCCCACTCGGCTGCGTGCCCGGGCGGGTCGGCGAAAACCCGTGGGGCCGGGGGCGGAGCCCCGCTGCCTTCCTGCTGAGCGGCGTGGGAGCCGCCGGGTCGGAGCGGAGGGAGACCCGCCTGAGCCTGGGTGAAAAGTCCCCTGGGCCGCGGGCGGGCGGGGCCGGGTGGGCTGCGGCGGACGGGGCCCGGGCCGGGCGGTAGCCGCGGTGTCGGTGGAACGTTGAGCCGAGAAAAAGAGGTGGCACGTGCAGCAATCCGGCCCGAGCGGCCGAGGGCGGGCGCTTGCCGGCCGAGATGAGGGGGTCCCAGCACCGTGGCCCTCGGGAGGCGGCCACGTGCAGCCCGGGGTCAGGAGCGGTCAGGGCCAGAGCTGGGTGTTTGCCGTTGTCGTTGTGAGGTCCTGAGGGCCGAGGGTCAGCGCGGAGGAGCGCCGAGCCCGCGCTCGGTGTAGGGCGGAGGAGCTCCGCCTGACAGCCGGTGAAGACGGGGCTTGGAGGGGGAGGGAGTCTTGTCCGGGTCAAGTCAAGGGAAACCCAGACTGAGAACGGGCCCCGCTGTGTGGCCACACGGTCTTAAGGGACAGAATTGCGGCACTCACTCAGTCTCTCTCCCTGTTAACGGCCCTAGATTTTAATAAGAGAAACTAAATGTATTGTGCATGAACACTTGTAAGATTCAAGAGCTCGGCCGGGCGCGGTGGCTCAAGCCTGTAATCCCAGCACTGTGGGAGGCCGAGGCGGGTGGATCACGAGGTCAAGAGATCGAGACCATCCTGGTCAACATGGTGAAACCCTGTCTCTACTAAAAACACAAAACATTAGCTGGGCATGGTGGCGCGTGCCTGTAATCCCAGCTACTCAGGAGGCTGAGGCAGGAGAATTGCCTGAACCCAGGAGGCGGAGGTTGCGGTGGGCCGAGATCGCGCCACTGCACTCCAGCCTGGGTAACATGAGTGAAACTCCGTCTCAAAAAAAAAAAAAAAGATTCAAGAGCTCCTCTCCTGCCACACTTGTGTTTGATCCTTTTGTATAAACAATTGTTAGGAGTTTAGGTTGTTACCAAGCTTCTATTTGGTATTATGTTCAGCCTGAAAAAGATGGGGTTACATCTAAAATTATAATTTTATCCGTTTATTTTGAGACAGGGTTTTACTCTTGTTGCCCAGGCTGGAGTACAGTGGCACGATCTCAGCTCACTGCAATCTCTGCCTTCCAGGTTCAAGCAATTCTCTTGCCTCAGCCTCCCAAGGAGCTGGGTCTACAGGTGCATGCCACCACGCCCGGCTAATTTTTGTATTTTTTAAAAAAGATATTTATTTATTTAGAGATGGAGTCTCGCCCGTCACTACGCCTGGCTAATTTTTTTGTATCTTTAGTACAAACAGGGTTTCACTGTGTTGGCCAGGCTGGTCTCGAACTCCTGACCTCGTGATCCACCTGCCTCAGCCTCCCAAAGTGTTAGGATTATAGACGTGAGCCACCTCGCCTGGCCCAATTTTTGCATTTTTAGTAGAGACGGGGTTTCACCTTGTTGGCCAGGATGGTGTCAATCTCTTGACCTCATGACACATCTGTCTTGGCCTCCTAAAGTGCTGGGATTATAGGTGTGAGCCGCCGCACCTGGCCTCAAGTTTTATGCCAATGTGGGAACAGATTGGGGTACTGTCAGAAGTGTGGTAAAGTTTCGGTGTAGCACTTTTGAGTATTCGTGATGATTTTCGTTCTTAAAATATATTATAAATGAGATTCAAATAAAATACTTAAGGAGTCTCTAAGCACAAAGAACCCCAGCGTGCACTGTGGTCATCCGTGGGACCTCAGGGGCCTTGGACCAGGCTCCCTACTGTGGCCTGGCTTTCTGGGATTGTGTTTTCATCTGGAAACAGGAATAATGATCCCTGCCCCTCCCACTGTGTCAGGGCAACATGATGGTCATGTGAGGCCATGCCTGTGAGGAGTGTCTGGCGGAGGAGAGGGAGGCGTGGGGGTGGGGGCTGGAGGCCACACTCTATGTTGGGAACCTGGGCTCCCTGCAACCTCCTCCTCCCAGGCTCAAGTGGTCCTCCCACCTCAGCCTTCTGAGTAGCTGGGACCACAGGTGCACACCATCACACCTGGCTAATTTGTTGTATTTTTCTATTTGTTTTGTTTTGTTGTGTGTGTTTTTCGGAAGGGCTTACTCTGTTGCTCAGGCTGGAGTGCACTGGTACAATCTTGGCTCACTGCAACCTCCGCCTCCCAGGTTCAAGCGATTCTCCTGCCTCAGCCTCCCGAGTAGCTGGGATTACAGGCTTACACCACAATGCCTGGCTAATTTTTTGTACTTTTAGTAGAGACAGGGTCTCACCATGTTGGCCAGCCTGGTCTTGAACTCCTGACCTCAGGTGATCTACCACCTGAGCCTCCCAAAGTGCTGGGATTACAGGTGTGAGCCACCTCACCCAGCTAATAGTGGCCCTTTTTCAGGGTTTACAAGTAAACTTTCCTTCCACTTTTTGAGATCTGAGGACATTACATGGAGGTTAGAGGCAAGTTTTGGAAGGCTGCTGGGCCTTGTCCTGGGCACAGGTTTCTTAGGCCCACCTCAGGGTTGTCATGGGGCAGGTGTGCACATCCACAGGGACCAGCACTGGGGGCTCCTCCAAGCAGGGCGAAGGTGTTCAGGGTTCAGTGCATTCAGAAAACAGGAGAGCAGGGGGATAGGGGGCATCCTGAGGACGGGGTGGGGACAAGGCCAGATGGGGCTAAACCCCGTGGCTGGGTTGCCTTCTCAGTGCTCAGGATGCTCTTGGGGAGCCCTTAGTGAGGGGTGCCCTTCTGATGTGGGTGTGAAGGAGCAGAGGGCAGGGTGGAGGCCAGAGAAGGGGCCAGTGGGATTGGCCTGTGATTTGGACAAGGAATGGCTCAGAAAGCATCCTGGGTAGCTGGGGCATGGAGGCGCACTCACCTGTGGTCCCAGCCACTTGAGAGACTGGCGGGAGGATCACTTGAGCCCAGGAGTTCCAGCCTGTAGTGTGCAGTGATCATGCCTGTGAATGGTTAGTGTATTCCAGCCAGGGCAACATAGCGAGCCCCTCTTTGTAAAGAAAAATGAAAGCCTCCCGGGTTTGTAGGTGACAAACCCTGGTGAATGGCGGAGCAGTCCTGAGAGCTGGGAAGAGGAAGACCTCTTTCTGAGGCAGCAAACTGAGCAGAGATGAGAGGATGAGGGAAGGACCTCAGCGGTGTTCTGGCCTCTTGGGTCTTTCTGCGACTTGCCAGTCCTGGGCCTGCTGGGAAAGGTCAGCCACTCTCAGGCGAGCAGTCCTGGGACCAGGTGACCCACGCTGCTGTGTCAGGGCCACGTTGTGGGACTTCGTTTTCTTCACTGCTGTGGCCACAGCCTTCCTGCTGCCGCTCTGGCTGGTGGATGGGTCCATGCTTCTTCAAGGATGCAAGTGACCCAAAGCTTCCAGGACACTTTTTTGGCAACTTGGGCCTTGGAAAGACAACAGAGCAGGTGTGCAGCATGAGGGCCTGTGGCTGAGCTGACCTGCCTGGAGGCATCAGCCAGGCTCCAGTAGCACAGCGAGGTTCCCATCTGGGGGCTGGTGTCCAGGCACAGAGCAGTCAGCATCCACTGTCCTTCCTGGAGGAAAAAGGGAAAGTGTGTTTGTTTTTTAAATGTTGTAATGGGCTGGGCACAGTGGCTCCCATCTGGAATCCCAGCACATTGGGAGGCTGGGGTGAGTGGGTCGCATGAGGCCAGGAGTTCAAGACCAGCCTGGCCAACATGGTGAAACCTCATCTCTACTAAAAATATAAAAATTAGGTTTGGCACGGTGGCTCAGCACTTTGGGAGGCCATGGTGGGCAGATCATGAGGTCAAGAGACTGAGACCATCCCAGCCAACATGGTGAAACCCCATCTCTACTAAAAATACAAAAAAATCAGCTGGGCGTGGTGTCGCACACCTGTGTCCCAGCTGCTTGGGAGGCTGAGGCAGGAGAATTACTTGAACCCAGGTGGAGGAGGTTACAGTGAGCAGAGATTGTGCTACTGCACTCCAGCCTGGCGACAGAGTGAGACTCCGTCTCAAAAGAAAAATATATATATACACAAAAAATTAGCCAGGCGTGGTGTCGCAGCTATGTCCCAGCTGCTCGAGAGACTGAGGCAGGGGAAATGCTTGAGCCCTGGAGGCAGAGGTTGCAGTGAGCCGAGACTGTGCCACTGCACTGCAGCCTGGGGACAGAGC